CAAGCCTCCAGTTGCGCCAAACCTCTAGGGCTCTGCAAAATGATGAAGGAATTAAGCCCTTGTTTTATTTAATTCTCTGGCTGAGGATTTAGAGGTAAACGTAATTAACCTAATTTCCATATCTGGGACAGCTGGACTTTAGAGAGGAAAAAAAAAAAGTAACCACCAAGCTTGGCATAAATCAGCAGGACAGGCAGAGAGGATTTTTCTCTCTGGTGCATTTTGTTGTTTGCTTCTTCCTTCCTTTTAGGAAAAAGCCACAGTGATTCAGTTTCTTAGGGCCGGGCTCTTTAGCCTTTCTCTGCCCCGAGCAATGCTCTCCTGCCCGGCTGAGCAGGCACGGGCCAGGCTCCTGTGGGGCTTTTTCCGTCCGTCCCACTGAGAGACCTTGGGCACTAAGTGTCTGCGGTCCCAGGCCGTGCCCCTGCCACGTCTCTGCTCCTCGTGGAGCAGCCTGGGCCCCTCCTGCCACCCCCGACAGCAACTTCTTCCCCTGATGTTTCGCACTCCGCTCGCACACGTGGTGATAAACCTTGTCCTAGCCTAAATATCTTCTTCCCCAAGTATTAGCGCTCACCAAGCCGCTGCTATATTTATGCCCTCTTAATCGTTGTGTAGTTTAACCACGCACAGATTTAGCCTCTTCATCATTTCATAAATAGCTCCTGAAGTGATTGTTCCCGTTGTTCTCGCCGTTGCCGGCCGTTTGTCAGCGCCGCTAACATGGGGCTGTAACGAATCTGGCACAGCCTCGGCGGGACTGCGATCCGAGGCCGCTCTGTCCCAGCCCAAAATCACACCGATGCTTTTGCCCGAGGGGGAATTGCCTCGGACGCTGCTCGGGGTGCCCCTGGGGCCGAGGGAGATGGGAAGCAAGCGGGAAGCGCTGTGTTCCTCGGCTGGATCTTCAGAGCCGTGACGTGTCCCACGCGGAACGAGGTATTCGGAGCTTGATTTGCTGCTTTTCTTCTCTCTGATTCTTCCTTTTTCTTTCCCGATTCCTCCAGTCCATTGACCCCGGGCAGCAGTTCACCTGGGAGCACTCCAACCTCGAAGTGAACAAGCCCAAAAACCGTTACGCGAACGTGATCGCCTACGACCACTCGCGCGTCATCCTGCTGCCCATCGAAGGTACCGTGGCCTCTCTCCTCCTGCGGGTTAGCACCAGCCTCAAGCTGCTGCAGGGAAACGTATTGCTCGTGCTCTTCTCCCTTCCCTCTTACCCTCTATTTGTATTCTTCTCTTAACATCTCCCCGAGAGTTTAGCAAGCAGGAGGTACCTCTGTGAACCAGGTATCTGTTAAATTCTGGTGACTGACACGTTCCCCGGAGTGGCAATCTTTTATTCCAGGGGCTGGTTTATCAAGAAACTGTCTTCCTTTGGCTTGGAGATCCCTGCTTGATACGGTTCTAATGGGAAAAATTCAGACCACACGGTGCTTTAGAGAGAGCAAGAGCGGGGCAGTGGGTGGTGATGGATGTGGAGGAGAAGTAAGCACAGGGCTGGTTGTACACGTGTGAGTGGCAGCAGCGCAGCAAAGGTGCGGGTGCTGAGTTGTACAGATGGAAAGATGACTCGATGGGCAGCTCCTGCTGCAGCCCGGGCCCTTGAAAGGCTCAGAACCTCTCAGAATAAGAAGAGGTTTGTGTCAGCCTAGTAGGTCATAAATTGTTTCCTGAGCTGCTTATGTGAGTGATGGCGCAGTTGGAAAATTGACATTAAATTTCACAACTCGTGGCTCTTGACAGAGTTGCTCTGGTGCACGCTAGGATAAGAGGGGCTTCTGGTGGAGTTTAACAGGGCACCTGCTTTGGATGCTGCCACCGAGATAATATTTGAGTTTCATCATCCCAGGTTGTGTGTGGCTGTGCCGCGCAGATAAAGCATTTAAGGCCGGCCTTGCATTGCCAAGAGCTGATCATCTGAGCAGAGAGGATATGGGATGTCCTAATAACCCCCCGGTGAACGTAAAGGTTAATTCGGAAGCCTTCATGAACGAGGGAGTTGCTGGAATAATCTCCCTGCGCCAAGAGGACGCTGAGGAACGCAGGGAAATGGAAGAGGTAGAGGCAGATCACGGCGATTTGCCAAAAAGCTGCACAAATCTGGATTGGTCTTGTCTGCCACCAGAGGATTTGAAACGTTTCTCATTGTGAAGATGACTGTTGCGGCTTGTTTTGCTTCCGAGATTAATATTGCATGAGCCAAGGGAAGCCAAGTCTTTACAGAGCAGCCCTGTCAGTCAAGGGGACAGGGAAGAGCAGAGCGAAGGGCTCGTCGGGCTGCTCTCGGCTGCCCGGGCTGGGTGCAGGCAGAACTCCTCGCTCTGCCCAGGTGCCGCCGTGAGGGACCGACGGTGCCCGTACGACAGGCCAAGGTTTCATTTTAAAGTGTCTGAGAGATTCTGACGTGTCTCGGCCGGTGTGTTCCTTCCCGCCAGGCTGTATTTTCTGCCGCGAGATGAAAGGACGTGGAGGAATTAGTTGTTGCTTTCTCTTTGTTTTAAATCTGGATTTGTCAAGGCTGCGGATTGTCACCGTCTGCTTGGTCAGGAAGAAGCACGGGCTTTAATTCCGTGACTTCTCTGTAAGTGGGGGCCTGTCGTGCCACGAAACATTACAGGAGCTCACGGCCACCAACTGAAATTACAGAGTGGACCCGAGGGGGCTGGAGAGGAGATTAATTGCGGAAGCTCAGCCTTGATCACGTTCCCGCTACTGCTGCTGCTGCTGCACAGCCACCTTCCCCTCCTGAAATTTCACTTTGGGAGGGAATGGGGGCAGGGAACCCTCCAGAAATTTAATCAAAAGCCATTTCTACCAGCAGCTGAAATTACCGAGTACCCTTGAGGGCTGGCAGGCAATTCAGCGCAGATTGCGCCTCGCCGGCAGCAGCAGCGATGCCTATTGCTACAGCGGCACGAGGACGGGCAACCCAATTCCAGATTGGTGCCGCTCCCCACCCCTGGCTCCCCCTCGAGACAGGAGTTAAGTGCTCTGTACCGAGTTAATCACAGGTTAGCAGAATCCTGCCAGCCCTGCCAGCCGCTCGCTGACGTTAGGAAGGGGCCAAATCACCAAACGGCGCGCGTGCTCCGTGCCAGCCTCGGAGCATCTAAAGCTGGACCTGAGCATCAGCGCTTGCCAGTGCCCGTTCAGACGTCAGAGCGGTTTTTTCCTGCTGTGTCCCAATCACCCTCTTGGCTCTGGCACTACCTCCTGCCGTTCACTCCGTGTCCCTGGAGCAAGGACACAGGCAAGCAGCTGGAGCTCAATAGCCTGTAGCTCCGGCAAATGGGGGGGAAAAAAAACCACTCCTGGAAATGACAGGGGACAGTTTAAAGCGAGTCAAAGCCTGTAATTTCGAAGCCTTTACTGGCTGAACCAAGCCCGGTTTTGTTCCTCACTTTGTCCAGCTGTAGCTCAGCGCCTGGGATGGCTCCGGGCTGCGTAGGGCATCGAGCAGGTGCATTTGCTGCCCGACTCGGGACGTTCCGGGACAAGGACTTGGTTTTGTCCTACTTGAGACCAGTGAAAGTAGAGCCCTAGGCCCGGACTTTCACTCCTGTTAGCAACACCTGTAAGAAGACCATGGTTTCAAGGCTTGAGAGTCAGTCTCTTTAAGACCTTTTGCAGTAAATTGTCTCCCGGCAGTGCAGACCTTCGAGGCAGGAGCTTCAGCTGGGAAACACTCACAGAGAGCCTCTTACTCCCAGCTGTGATTGTGACCCACTGAGCTACGAAGGCTCTGGTGTCTTTGCAGGGGAGTTCTCCCTAACGGCATTCGTGCAAAGATCTCCTCGTGCTCCTGGCTATACGAAGCCCCAGGGCCGTTCGTTAACTTGCTCTTGCTGATTTCCTGCAGGAATTGTGGGCAGCGATTACATCAACGCCAACTACATCGATGGCTACCGGAAGCAGAATGCCTACATCGCCACGCAGGGGCCGCTGCCAGAGACCTTTGGAGACTTTTGGAGGATGGTGTGGGAGCAGCGTTCAGCTACTATTGTTATGATGACTAAACTGGAGGAGAAATCACGGGTGAGATGCACGAGAGGGATGACTAGTTAGTCATAATCCTGGGGGATCGGAGGGTAGGGTTGGGGAACAGCGAATCCCTTTGATCTGCAGCCCACAGTGGGGGATTTCTGCCTGCTCTGCCAGCACCCTGAAAGTTCAGTGATTCATTGCTTTTAAAACATAAAAAAAGAAAAACAAACCATTCACCCTGGAAGAGCTGCAGCCTCCCTTGCAACTCCAAGAGAAGGGGACGCTCAATCCCATCGCGTGCTTTGTGGGTCTGTCTTGGAGTTAATCATGTGGCAAGTTTCACATTGAGTTCCCTTGTTTAACAAGCCCCAGTACCTTCGCTCTAATCTTCAGGATCATTCCAGTCTATTGTCCACATGATTGATGTGGTGCAGCAAAGCCTGTGCTTAGTCAGTAGGAGCTTTTCATGCTGGCTCTGTCCCTATCGTGGTGCCCTGGAAAGACTTTTCTTGCACCTTCCGTCCCCTTTGCGACCTGGCCAGCCTCACCTGTAGGCATCGGGGCCGTTCTGGAAGGAGCTTCCCCTGCAGCAGAGGGTTCATTCCAGCGCTGAGCGACACCTCCTGTCTTCCAGATAAAGTGTGACCAGTACTGGCCGGGCCGAGGTACAGACACGTACGGGATGATTCAAGTGACGTTACTCGATACCATTGAATTGGCCACGTTCTGCGTTCGAACGTTCTCTCTTCACAAGGTAACTTTGTCCTGCTCCTCGGGTTTTTTTTCCCCTGGAGATACACTCTGTGCACAGCATGGAGTGTGCGGGGCTGCTGGTACCTCGCATCACTCTTGGTGCTCTTTTTGTCTCTGCAGAACGGTTCCAGCGAGAAGCGGGAGGTCCGCCAGTTCCAGTTCACAGCGTGGCCTGACCACGGCGTGCCCGAGTACCCCACCCCGTTCCTGGCTTTTCTGAGACGGGTGAAAACCTGCAACCCCCCCGATGCCGGTCCCATCGTGGTGCACTGCAGGTACTGGTTTCCTCCACCTGACTCTTGCACGGGGCCACCTGCAGAGGTGGGAGATGTTCAGAAAGATGCTGATTTGCACCCAGGAGATGTGTTCAGCCTCCCAGCCAGAGCTGTTGGATTCTCAGAATCCGAGGAGGATTCTTGGGGTTTTCATTGAGCGCAGAGTTTCCTGGGATGCTCAGGGGTTTGGTTTGCACCAGATCACTTGGATTCTGTCAGCAACGGGAAGCACCCGGTGCTGAACTGGTGTCTGGGTCTGTGCAGGGGTTGTTTCTTCTCACGGTGGGAAGGGAGGAGGACTGAGTGCGATCGAGCAGCTCCCTCAGTGGTGTCGCATCGGGCGTTTCGGTGGCAGGAGCTGCCTCAGCTGTCGAAGGGCGAGCTGACAGTGATTGAAGGGGGACGGAGGGGATGTTTTTTGAGCACTGCAGCCATTCTCATCACGACAGACTGAAGGCTCCTGTGGGCAGGTTGCACCCCCTAATTCAGTTTACAACCCAAGTAGGAGCGTTTGCAGCGTCAGCTTAGATCAATGCCCATGTTCCTCGGGAGGAGCCTGCAGGTTACCTGGTGCTGAGGAAACATCGGAATTTTACAGGCTGCTGGGGGAAGCTCATCCTGCCTCTCCTGGAGGATGCCATTTAAACAGTCTTTGTGAGCGGGCAACTTATCACTAACCTTGCAGATGGCAATTATCGTGCACCTCTCCGAAAATGAATAAAGAGAGCCGTCAGCTCGCAACGTGCGGGAACCGGCTCCCAGATCGGCTGCTAAATTCTTGCCAAAGCTCCAGTCACCTGCTTGGTTCAGGTGTTAGGCAGTCTAATTAACAGAGATCAAGGGGGCTTTATGAAAAAAGGGACTGCACTGGAATGGCAAAAGGAAACCCTTTATTAGCAGCGACAAGCGCGTAGACGCAGAGAGCCCCGCTGATTCACAACTGCCGTTACACGCGAGTTTGATGTTACCTCAATGCACAAAAGCATTTGGGAGAGGAGGTGACGCGTGTTACTCATTACAACATCAGGAGTTTCTCGGCCGCTGAAAGACCCGAGTGATGAAACATGGTTTTTAAGCCCTTAGATCGTACCAACCGTTTGTTCAAGCCTAGAGCCCCCCTGCTTAGAACTGTCGTAATCGTGTGTCTGCCAGGAGAGCTCCCGTCCTGGGGGTGTCGCAGAGGAAGAGGCAGGAGGAACGGTGCAGATCAGCACCGAGGGGCAATAGGCAGAGGCAGCTTTTTTCATCTTCTGTCCTGATCTCAGGTGACATAAACCCAAACTTGGTTTGGGAAGTTTTTGCTAAACTCTGCACGTTGCAGAGTGTTTGGGGCTCTGCTGTGTGGCGGCACCGCCTTGGCCGGGGGGCAGATCCCAACAGCTTTTGAGGTTCCAGCCCAGCACCTGCGTGACCTGGAGCAGCCGTGACTTCGGTGTCACCGCTCTCCTCCCCTGCTGCTGCTGTCCAAACCCTCCAGCACAGGTTTTAAACTCCCTCCTCCCTCCCGTACTCTGCCCGGGTGAGGCCACATCTGGAATATTGTGTCCAGTTCTGGGCCCCTCAGCTTCTTCCCTGGCCCAGGCTGCCCAGAGAGGGTGTGGAGTCTCCTTGGGACCTACTCCCTTCATCATCCTCGAAGCTCTCTGTTGGAGTCCAACGGAGAGCTTCGAGGATGATGAAGGGACTTGAACATCTCTTCTGCTCTGGAGACTTTCCAACCCGCCTGGACGCGTTCCTGTGGGGCTGCCCTGGGTGACCCTGCTCTGGCAGGGGGTGGCACTGGATGATCTTGGTCCCTTCCAACCCCAACATTCTGTGATTCTGTGGCAAGAGCAGCACCCCGAGGTGAGTGGGCAGCAGCAGCGGCGCTCACACCACCAGCTCCATCAGCCAAGTTCCTTTAACACAATCCGTGGAGCGGCCGGACCCAGGCAGCTGGGGGGTTTGCCAGTATTTCCTTTGCCTCGTCCATCAGTAGCTCTGCTCACGGGTCCCTGCCCAGTCACCGAGCGCATTTGTTGCCTCGTGCCTGGTTCTGCCCTGTGTTTATGGCGGTTTGGGGCAGCAGAAGGATCCTCACTCCTGGGTCACCTTCTGGAATACCTTCCTCCCGTGGCAGAGCAGTCCATCGATTCCCTTTTTTCCCTCCTTCTTTCCAGCGCGGGCGTTGGGCGCACCGGCTGCTTCATCGTGATCGACGCCATGCTCGAGAGGATAAAACACGAGAAGACGGTGGACATTTACGGGCACGTCACCCTCATGAGGTCACAGCGCAACTACATGGTACAGACAGAAGACCAGTACAGCTTTATACACGATGCCTTGCTTGAGGCTGTCGCTTGCGGCAACACCGAGGTCCCGGCCAGGAATCTTTACACCTACATCCAGAAACTGGCACAGATCGAGGTCGGGGAGCACGTGACGGGCATGGAGCTGGAGTTCAAGGTAAGGGGAGATGCTTGAATGGGGACAGCAGTCCCTGGGGAAGGCTCTGAGTTCCTCACAGGAGCTTTGTTCTGCCCTTATAAGGCTGATGGGAACTTTTTTTGGTTCCACGTTAGAGCAGTAATTACTTTCCTGACTTAACGCTATCGCAGTTCCCAGCGGAGACCTTCCTGTCCCTGCAGGAGGCTTGTCTGGTCATTTCAAGTCAAAATTGAATTTGCTCCCTCCTTAGATTGGATTTTTAAACTTTTTTTGTTTTTTTTTCCTCTGGAAGTTTTGCTTAGGGAAAGGTCATGGAGTCTGCCCCACCCTCCCAAAAAAAAAAACCAGGAGGGTGCACCAGGCAGGATGTGGTGGAACAGGGAGGGTGAGTTAAGTGGGCTGGCACGGGGCTGAAGAAAAAAAAGACTGTTGTAGCGGAACAAATGGGTGTGACTCTGCTTTTGCCTTCAGCGCCTCGCCAACTCCAAAGCCCACACCTCCAGGTTCATCAGCGCCAACCTGCCATGCAACAAGTTCAAGAATCGCCTTGTCAACATCATGCCCTACGAGACCACGCGGGTCTGCCTCCAGCCCATCCGAGGAGTGGAAGGCTCAGACTACATCAACGCCAGCTTCATCGATGGCTACAGGTAAAGGGCGCCTTGTTGCCCGGCACCGTCGGGGGATTGCTGTGTAGGAGACTTCTAAGGATGCAGCAGTAGCAGGAGCTGGACCAAGTCTTTCTAACGGGGGCAGTGGTGCGGTGCCAGAGGTGAATTCCCTCTCGCTGATGGCCAGCGACGCACTCGTAGACTCCAATGCAGCCTTCTCAGAAGCTTTATTCTCTGTCATCTTAAAATTACTTGTCCCCTAAAGCAAAGCAAACCCTTCTCCAGCTGCAGGTCCTAAACATAGAGTGTCAGTGAGGGGTGGATTTTGCCATTGGGAGGTTTCTAAAAACAGATTAGCCTTTTTATTACTTGTTGTGATTTTGGGGGCCGTCGCAATTCTTGACAGCTTCCCACGGGTACTAAATGCCACGCGGGAGCTGCAGCCCTCCCTGCGTGCGCTCACGCTGAGCCCTAACGGAGGGAACAAAGCAACCCCAGGGGCAAACCCTCCCCTCCTGCCTGTGGTGGCACCAGCGTTAGGGCCGCTCCCTGCCCGGCACTGAATGCTGGGTGCTCCTCAGGGCCAGAAAAATGGCTTCTAGCTCCAGGAATCTGACCTGTAGCATGTGGCACTTTCTTCCATCTACGGCACTGTGCTACTCTAGATCTACCCCATGCAAAAGGCATTTAGAGAAAGCTTCACCATTGGGCACTTTCTTTTTTTTTTTCCCCTTTCTTTTTTTTGGCCATTGGCAGCAAAATCACCTCCCTGCCCCTTTAGATCCTGTACTCTTCCAGTTCTTTCCTGGCATTTCCATTCGTTCTCCCGCTCGCCAGCTTTTGTGTGCGTTTCCCAAAGCTTCTGCCCGAGCAATTCTCCGCGCCCCTGTGACCCACGGCGGGCTCTCTTGCAGGCAGCAGAAGGCGTACATCGCCACGCAGGGGCCGCTGGCAGAGACCACCGAAGATTTCTGGCGGATGCTGTGGGAGAACAACTCCACCATTGTCGTGATGTTGACCAAGCTCCGCGAGATGGGGCGGGTAAGCGTGCGAAGGAGGAGCCCAGGGAGGGGGAAGCCCACGGCACACAGGGCTGACGGAGGCTCTTCTTTCCCTTCGGCAGGAAAAGTGCCATCAGTACTGGCCAGCGGAGCGCTCTGCCCGGTACCAGTACTTTGTGGTGGATCCCATGGCTGAGTACAACATGCCTCAGTACATCCTGCGAGAATTCAAGGTCACCGATGCCAGGGTAAGCGCCGCGCGAGGTTCAAACCCACTTAGAGAAAACGAAAGAGCTGGGCGTGCTTTGGCAAAAAGAAAACTGAGGTGTAAATGCTTTGGCTGGGCTTATTGTCCGTGGAGGAGAGCTTACCTGTGATCAGGAACAGAACACACAAACTCTAATTGTACTTGAATAGATCTCCTTATAAACTGAAAGTAGTTTTCTAACCTCCGCTCACTAATCACAGGAGTGAGTCACTTCATTAGAGATGTACCCAGCTTTTGGTTTTATTTGCAGCTTATTTGAGAGTGGCTGGGAAAAAAAAAACAGACTTGCAAAGGCTACGTTGCAGCCTGTAGAAAATGTGCACGTCTCTGGCTTTAAGAGCAGCCACCATCGCTCATATTCAAAGGGGCACTTTTACCCAAATAATCTTAGCTTCACTGTCAGGTTTCTCATCCAAAGGAACATTTCAGTGCCTTCTGAAATTTGTTTGGCAAATGTAACCCTCGCTCTCCGAGTCTTCGAGCTTTTGCGGTTGCCAGTATTACACAACCTGATAATTCTATTTGCAAGGTTGAGAAGGAGGATGCCTCATCAGTCCTGGTAGAACAAGATTGATCTCCCTGTCAGCTGTAATTCTGACACGATGGCAACTCTTTCTCAAGATTGATAGAGAGGCCATAACCTCACCTTGAATGTTCCTTTTCTGAAGACTCCATCTGTGCAGTCTTCAGGGCGGTCGGGGCTTTCAGCACACCTGCCAGGGGGAGCGAGCGGGATGACAACCCGACTCCAGAAACGTCCAACTGCAACCCGAGCAGCTTTGTCATTATCCACACAAACCGCAGCTGTTTGCGCTTGATGATAACACAAAGCTGATTCAATTTTTTCCATGCTCCTTAATGAACTAGCAACAAATTAGGGTGGTTTTTTTTGTTGTTGTTGTATTTTTTTTCCTCTCTTGTACCACAACTACAGGGTGGTTTAAATCTTGCTGTTTTCTCCCCCAGGATGGTCAGTCACGAACTGTTCGGCAGTTCCAGTTCACCGACTGGCCGGAACAAGGCGTGCCAAAATCAGGAGAAGGTTTTATCGATTTTATCGGCCAGGTACATAAGACCAAGGAACAGTTTGGCCAGGATGGCCCCATCTCTGTCCACTGCAGGTAGGCACGTGCAAATGGAAACATCTCAGCTGAGGATGCGAAAGAGCAGAAGGAATTAAAAGCCCTCTCCTTGGCCAGCCCAGCCCTGCAGGCAGAGGTTTTTTTGGGGGTGTCTGGTGCCAAGCACTGGTGCTTCTGGCAACCCGATTCCTCTCCCTTCAGACTGGGGCACTGGCCACGAGGCCTTTGACCGTTTCTATTTAGGGAGAGGGATGAGATGCCACAGTGTTAATCAGTATTTAAGCTGCAGTTAGAAGTATTTTTCCCAGGCTTAGCCCACCTCTGCTCCTCCAGCAGTGCTGGGTTGCGTGTGCTTACCCCTGGGCAGCAGAGGATAATGCATTCTTCAAAGTATTTAATTTTAAAAGCCTGATGTTACAGATGAGCAATAATTTTTCAGACTGAATGCTGTTTACTGCTGGCCAAAGCAGTACTTTATTTTTTTTTCTCCACACTTTGTCTCACTCGTTTGTTTGGGTCACACGCTCGGTCATTTTACTATTTTCTACTCCCTGGAGAACAGACTGAGCCTCTTCAGTTCCCTCATGTTCATAAGACACAGCTCAGCCATTCCAGCATTTAGAGAAGAATTTGAACATTCTAACATGCAGTTTCTTTTTTTTTTTTTCCCCCCCTGCAGTGCTGGCGTGGGCAGGACTGGAGTGTTTATCACGTTGAGTATCGTCCTGGAAAGAATGCGTTATGAGGGTGTTGTAGATATTTTCCAGACAGTAAAGATGCTGCGAACACAACGACCTGCTATGGTGCAAACGGAGGTAAGGTGGCGCGGGGAACCCGTCCTCTGCCCTAGGTTTGAGGGCTGGAAGCCAAACACCTCGTGCTTTTTTGGGGGGGTTGGTTTGGGGTTTTTTGTGGCCTTTCTATCCACTGGCAAAAACCTTACCTGAAGGTTACTCAGCAAGCCCAGGCTGCGCTGTCGATTTTAACCAAATAATTCAAAAAAAATATAAAGTTCCCATCGTTGTAAAGCCTCACCCCAGTCTACCAGCCTCGATTCTCCTCCCATCCCTGCCTCTGACGCCTCCAAGTGCTGCAGAGCCGGGAAGGAGAGCGCTCGGGTGATGCCCAGTCATGCAAGCGAAGGGATTTTCCTTTCCCAGTAGCTCACAGCTCTGTGAGAGTAGAGGAGTCTGGGCAGGGTTCGCGCTTGGGAAAGCTCCCAAGGAGCTGTTCCAGCCCCTGAAGCTGGTTCTCTGTGCCGTCCGCAGGATGAATACCAGTTCTGTTACCAGGCAGCTCTGGAGTATCTGGGAAGTTTTGATCACTATGCAACATAAAAAGCCATCCGTTGTGCAGACTCTACCAACCACTTAAGTCCTGGAAGGCCTCTTTTGACCCAGGAGGAGCGCTTGAACTTAACAAAACTGAATCAGAAGTACCTTTTCATCCGGACAACGCCTTGGGGAGCAGGGGGGAAGGATTGAAAGGAAAAAAAACCCCTTTGGGAACTCCACGTTGTAACCTGGCCCGAGAAAGAGGCAGCTCAGGAGATGCTGAAGGACTGCTTTAAGTGGTGAACTGCTCTTGTTACCTCAAGTGGTGTTCGCTGTGGAGGACGTATGGACATCATGAAACAGATCCAAAAGCTAAAAAAAAAAAAAAAAAAACCCACAAACCACACCTTGCGAAACGTTACGGCTGGAGAAGGGAAGGAAACCGCCTTTGGTTACATCATTAGAGTTCAGTTTATTTACTAATCTAGTTGGCAGTCTTTAAAGGAAGTCACTTGCAGAATGGAAGGTGTTCTGTCGAAGGTAAGGAAGGGAATTAAATCTCAACGCTTTTAGGCAAACTTAGGGTCAGGAGTTCTTCTAGCTGGAGTCTTAATAACCTCAGTGTCAACCACGGGATGATTCTGGGCTTGCAGGCACCTCGCGAGCAGCATTCACCGAATGCCCCTGCCAGAGGTTTTATAGCTCACCTTTTGAATACTTGGAACATTCCTCATTTCTTCTAATTCCAAAATTTATTTTTTAGGCTATTTAAAAATTACAGAGTGAGAGAGAGAGAGAGGTACAAAGCCCAGCCCTGGCTGCGCGGGGTGGGCTCTCCCCACCCTTGCACAGCGGCAGCGCCCCGGGGCTGGGTCCTGCTGGTTCTGCTCCCCCCTTTCCAGCACACCCAGCTCTAACGCAGAGGTGTTCAGTCGAGCAGTCGGTGGGACACCCCGTAAAGAAACGCAGCCCCTTCTCTTTGCACAGCCACACAGCCCACTTCTGCTGCGAGCAGCCGTGGGGACCCCGACCCCGGCGCAGGCCAGGAGCATCGCTCGGAGAGGAGCCCGCGAAGCGCCCGCACGACGTTTAATTTCCAGGAGCCAGCTGCTTCTTGCTGCCACCCCTCGCCTCGGAGCGCAGCGGCTCTCCGGGAGCGATGCAGAGACACTCTCAGGGCTGTCCCACGTCACCCCCAGCTCATTGGCACAGCTCCCAACACGCCCCAGCTCAACAAATAACGGGGAAAGATCAAGTGAGAGGCATTCAATGGCAAATACTGTGAGTGGCTTTCTTTAAAGTATCGATGTAACTGTAACAAGTGACATTACCTTTTTTTTAAATAGTGTATTTTTTCCTTTTTTTTAAAAAAAAGAAAAGACAAAGAATATCAGTCAATGAATTTAAAAGAAAAATTTGCTTATTTGTTCATATTATGTTCAAAGACAGTCTATTTTTTCACTGTAGAAATGTTACGTGTAATGGCTGTGATATATAAAAATGCAGTGCAAATTGCTACTTCTACATATTGCTTTTCTACCATTTAAAAGGTTCAACTTGCTCATGTAAGATCAAAAATGTCCTTTCTGGATTTTTTTTTTCTTTTTTTTTTTTTTTCCCCTCGGATGCTTTTTTTTTTTTTCGATCTTGGACATATCACATGGCACAGGCAGGCTGGGACACGGGGGCAGCGCCAACCCCCCTCCCCATCAGCTCCGGGTCTTAACGGGGCTGGGGGGAGCTGAAAAAAAATCCCAGTGTCTTACCATGACCGAAGATGGAAATTTCGAAGAGCACCCAGAGGTTTTTTTTAACATCTGAATTGTAGGCAAGGGCCCAAGTCTGTCCGTGCGCTGGGGCGTAGATAAAATGTTCATGCAAATATAC